TGGCTTTTAAAGACTGTGGTCTTAAACTTTTGATCAGCTGAAAAAAATCATGTTTTAGTGTAAATGCATTTTTCAGAAAATTCCCCACTCAAAGGTTCTTGTCTCTTGCACTGATTTCTTCTTTTAACATTGTGAAGCTCTACTTAGAACCTTCTTAAGATCCAATAGTGCAAAATGCAAATTATTGCACTTTTTTGACTGGTCTTAAGATTTTGATCAGGAGTTGTATACAGTTCTGTATCTGTGTAAAAATGTTTATTTTTTCCTGTTTGCTGCTGAATAAAACTGTTACGGTTCAGCAAATTCTGGGCAAGTTTAAACTGTTTTTGTCCTTTTGGCAGGTGTTCCTGCATTTCTTTTCCAACAGCTGACAGCAAGAGACCATAAACAGGGGAAAAAAATGGCACAACCTTTCAACACCACAGCTCATCTAATCAATCTCGAATCCAGGATTCTAAAATCTTACGGTCGAGAACCTGTTAGAGCATTAGAAGTCAAGACACACTTCTGTGCAGGCCTCTCTAACCTGTAGCTGCAGTACTCACATTTTCATCGTGTAATAATTCTTTTTTTGTCTGATTATACTCCATCCCTTAACACTCGTTTAGGTTGTCAGGTGATCATCGTGGATACGGCAGATCACTCCAGTAACAGTCAGAGTTAACGCTTCCAGAATCTGACTCCAAGACAAGAAAGACCATTGTCTGTGTCCACTTCTGAAACTGTATTTTATCCACTCTGGCAGTAATTCGGTTATTTCTTCAAAGCTGGTGTGGCCCTGCATTCTAATCTATGTTGCTAGCCTCAAAATTCAATTATCACTGGACTGCATGAGAAACTGGAAATCAATACATGTAATTAAATTGCTCGGCCTTCAAACTGCGAGACGCTGTCATTACCCCTTCAATGCACCCGAGGTCTATCAAATATATCAAATAATGGGATCAATTTATTTGAGTTTCTCGCTCTTGCAACAGGGCATGGCGAAAGCACAGATGTCTAATTATCTCCCTGTTGGTTGCTTTCTCCTTCCCCTCTAAGGTGGAGTAAATTGCAGGGGAGTCAGAATCTCTTGGCAGGATCATGAATCACATGGAAAAAAATGAACACATCCCGAGTGTTCGTGGTACACAAGAGAGGTGAAAGGAATGACCCAACACAAGAAGGCAAGAAATATGGCTGACTTGAATATACAGTACCTCAGATATATACATTAACTTAGAAAAGTGTGTTAATATTCAAAGTTAATTCAGTTTAGCTGCAAGTAGCGCCACAGTTCAAAATTACAGTAACTCCAAACTTACAGAAGGGACAAAAAGAGGAAACCCATGACATTTGTTCCATAAATTATCAAATTTTAATTTTGAGAAACCATCTCTGAAAGTGATTGTCTGATTTTTTTGCTGTGGGTTTCTGTGGACCGGTTAGGAATAATTATTTTCTTACCTGTCAGAGCTCTCTAACTGACCTCAGTTGGGAGAAATAGAGCCTAATTACAGCTTGATGAGCCACTTCAAGCAGGGGATGAGACCAAAGTGGACTGCCGCTGYTTTAAGACGACTCCAATCTTAAAGGTTTTTAAAGTGGGTTTTCATTAGGCTCCATGTGAAYGTTATGTTTACACTTTTAMATCATCATCAGTTTTGCATTACTTACATGGTTCTTTGCCAGCGTAAACACTGAGAACCAAAGCTATGAGAACAATCTGAATGGCTTGTCCATCTTGCTCAAACTGAACTCTGTTTTTTTCAAACTGAAGCCATTCAAAGAGTTTTTATTTTATTTTACCAGTGATGGATATTGATTTTCACATGTTTGAGGTTAGTTAAAATGATTGACCAGGTGACAATGAAAACAAATAAAAATCCTCAGCTAGCAGAATTAGCAGCACCGTGTGTTTGTGTGGCTCGAGGTGAATAAACTTGAATCTATCCCAAGTTTCAACCACAAAGAAAAAGTCATTTTTTAGACCAAAACATAAAACAGGCAACTATCCTAAATCACAAAGCAGTAGCTCAAATAAACTGTTCATTCACTAAGATATTAATTAGTTATAGATGTTAAACCAGAGGTGCCCAAAGTAGTGAAATGGCCCCAAAACAGTTGCACTCTCCTGTCGAACACTGTATTTTCACTTTCTTTAAATTAWATTGAGATTAAACATGAAATACAGAAACTACACRACATTTAGATTACATTAAGCACACAAGCCTTTTCTGATCAAGTGTACGTCAAACATTATTCAAGTTAATGGGCTAAAATAAAAATCAYGAGCCATCGAACTGACTGCTTTCTTAATCATAAACAAATAAAAAGGCTTTTACTTAAAGTATTCATTGTTCATGTATTATATTATTGCCTTTGGCCCACAGCCCCTCGGATAGATTTTCATTTTGACCCTCYTGAGGAAAAGGTTTGGGCACCCCTGCTTTAAACAGAGCACTTCACAAGACTTTAGCTATCTCTTTAAGGTTGTATTATGAGTGTCTTACTAAAAATATATTAGAATTTCATGAATTATAAACAATATGATGGGTTTAAAAGAAAAGAAAATACTAAATCCAGTGTTGGTGAACATTTTACAATAAGTACACCCGAGGCTCGGACGGACGATTTAAACTTTGTCAAGAAGAAACCAAAGTTTTTCTTCTCAAATAAACAAAAAAACAAATGTGCACCTATATAATGTGGGAAAGTAGTCAACTTAAGTTTAGATTCAACATCTTAAAACCCAATAAATGAAATTAGAACATCTAACCKTTCCTTTCCCTCTCCAGTGACCCCTAGGGGTCCTTAAACTTCACTTGCAACATTCAACTGCAGGAGGGGGGAGAAAAAGAAGGGGAGCAGAGRCAGGGAAGAGGAGGGCCTTGGGTGGTTTGCGGTGGTTGTGGGGGGTGGAGGGTCTTTTCGGCACTATATAACCATGGGAGCTCTGGGATTGGGTCCTATTGTATTCACTGAATGACTATTCAGATGTCCTCAATGGATGACGAATTTCTTTCCAACCAACCAAATTAAAAGCTCTGATCAAATCATTCTGGAACAGTAGCTATTCCGTTTTGCGCATAAAAAACGCGCGCGATCAAGTTCGGAAGTAGAGAAAATGGCGTAAAGGGACTTAAGATGATCAAAACATTAATAATTTATTAAACCAAACCGGAGTTTAACAAAAAAAAAAAAAACTCCAAACCGACCCAATAAATGATTGTTCTTTTAAAGACCTCACAGTCTGTACATAACAGGAAAGAATGGAGTTAAAATTTTAACAGAATAAAGAGTTTTATTTTTTTTTCTTGGACAGAAACCTGCTGAAACAAAGCATCTGGGCGCAGAGACCCACCGCGTAAACTCAGTGCGTCTCCACGAGCCAGGAGGACACGCAGAAGGTCTTAGAGGAGCGTTTGGGGTCAGAAAATGTATTTWTTTTTTATTATTTTATTTTTTGCTTCGGGCTGATTTGATGTGCGTCACTAAACGCTGCGGCTGGCTGGAMAGTGGCTGACAATAAACAACACCAATGAATGCGTGATGGGGGGGACCACAGCGTCCCCCTGCAGTCTCTCCGTCAGCATCTTCTCCGCTCCTCTCACAACTCAAAACACAAACACGCGTGGAGCAGGAAAAAATCAACAGGATTTGACCAAAAAACTAAAACTCATGGACTCAAAAACATAAAAATAATATAAAAAAAACGTGGAGCTTTCCTCTCTGATTTATACATATGGAATAAATAATGAAGCGAGGCTTAACATGACAGAATAAATGCGTCAGTAGTTCTCCACAGGGGGAGAAGAAAGATGCTCTCACTTCTTAACTTTCTGAATGAGTTGAGTGTTTCCGCAGAGCTCCAGCCTCCTCGCGCCACTGGCTGTCCGGAGTCAGTGACAGGAGAGCGGCTGGAGGAGCCGAGGAGAGGATGCTGCCYTGAGATCCAGCACCGCTCGGCCTCGGCTCGGACTTTAACCTGCACGCGGCTTTATTGTTGAGAATAAACAAGTCATTTTACCTGCGCAGCCGATCAGCAGCAATCCCCACATGATGTCCCTTATTTGAAGCATTGTAACGTGCCACAGATATTCTCCTTGAAGAGCACTTTTTCTGTTTTTTTTTTTTTTTTCACAGCAAGCTTCTTCTGGAGGAAACCGATATCAGCCTTTTTCCAGAGGAAAGAACTGCAGCAGAAGGTGGATTTGGTGTTTCTTCTCTTATTTTGGTCCTAGTCGCTCGCGCGCCGCGGCACAATGAGTGACAAGCAGCAGCCGTAGCTCGCAGTCGCGCACACACGCACTGAACAGATACCAGCACGAATCACTCCGCCCGGTGGGACCCCCCCACCCCACATCCACTCCCACCCCCACAGAGGGGGCGGGCTGAGGTGGATGCAGCATCAAAATAGTCARCGGAACGAAGGCAGATGGTCATTAAGGACTAAATCGGATTAATAAGATTACAAATTTGCAAAGTGTTTGGAAACACAAAGCAATATTTTTATGGAGGAACAAAGACAAAAATCATGAATTCSGTTTATAGACCCAAAATTATTTTTCAGTTCTAGGAAGAAACATACATTTAGATTGTTTTAAAATACATATTTTCCTAATATTTCTGTATTAACAATGCTAAAACACATCAAATGGATACTGAGGATTCCCAGTACTTTAAAGGGTTGTTCCAGCTATTTTAAAGTGAGGTTTGCATACATGTCTACTTGTACGGATTGTCYGTAAGTTATAAAGATTTTACATCATTTTGCAGGTAAACGGACGTATAGAGCAATCTCACAGATTTTTTCAAGTCTTACGGATTTTTTCTAAACATCATGTTCAAATTTATCTAACATGTCAGAGCCTGTAGGATGATTTAAAAAAAAACAATAAATAACATCAAATAGCCTTCTTCCAACCTGTTCTGCCGCTAGAAATAAGTTACTTTTTCCTCGCTCCTTTTCTTCAGCAGGCGCTTTCATGTCCSCACMCACACACACACACACACACACACACACCCGTGGGTGCGAGTTGTACGGATTTTTTGCAAAAATTACGGATTTTTGAGGCTTTTTATACAGTTCAACATCCGAAGAGGTTGACATTGTATGGGTTTGGTGGAAAAGTTACAAGTCATAGCCTGGTCCTTGCCTTCCTATGCAGTTCTGCTCAATTCTAGTTTCCTTCACTGCTCCGTCTGGGATTTCTCCCATAGACAAGGATTTCTTCGGGCGAATTTTCATCTGGGCCAATCAGAGAACAGAACGTCGATTTTCTGTGCCGTGTCTGCTTGTAGTTTATTTTACCTGGGCCAATCAGCAAACAGGAGGTGGAGTTTTGAATGATGTTGATTTTCTGTGCAGTGTCTGCTAGTTAGTTTAGCATACGACAGTGGAGGAAGTGAATGAAGCCAGTCTGTGTTGATAAGGCTTCCAAATTAAAAWAAAWTTGTCCGACAAAGCAGCAGCTCTCATTCGTCTTGGCTCGGTACTTTTCTCTTCTCAGTAGGGTTGTTTACAGCACACGCAATTTCCGGTTAGCTTCTTAGCTTAGTTTCCTTCACAGCGACATACGTCGCGGCCAACCAATCCAATCATTTTAAAATTCACCAGAGGCCACGCCTCCAGCAAGAATTGCTTCTCTATAACCGAGAGTCCAGACCCTTGTATGAAGCAAAGCGAAGGACGAGGGTCTGGTTTTTACCAGGCCACAAACGTCATGCTGATAACTTTGAATGACTTCAGTTTGGAGAACTAGAGTTTAAATCTGTCAAAATCTAGTCTGAGACTGTAGTTCTCAATCTGTCATTTCAAACAAACATGATTATGTGAACCAGACTCCCTTAGGGCATGGCAAAATCGTATCATGTGCAATTAATCGTTAGTAAAACTGTCAACAATTATTTGCTACTTTGAAATTCTTGCCATGTGATGAGGACATATTTTGTGYACGACAAAATCACTATCAGGCACGCATGTGACTCCAATGATGGAAGTCAGAGTTGAGCATCTAACCCTAACACTGTTTATTCACCTGAAACACTGCCATAAACCGGAGTATGAACCACGCTCACAGCGTTGGCCACATGCAAGTGCAATTGCCATCAATTTATCACCATATTAATCATTATTGGTTGAATTAATCGATTTTTTTTTGTATCAACAACCATACTTGCCAACTCAACAAGCCCAGTAGAGCATTACTGAGAGTCTTGTTTCTGAAAGATGGCTGGGTGGAGCGAAAAATGGATCAATGCTCTGGTTTGTTGAAGTGAAGAAGGGGGTCTAAAGACAAAGCTCTTGATTTCATGTTCCAACCCTCACCTATGGTTATGCAATGATGACCAAAAGAAACTAAAGAAGGGGATTTTTGACATTGATTATAGAGATAAAGTAAGAAGCCCCTTTGGGTGGGGGTAGAATGAAGTAGAGTTGCTGATTCTGCTCATTAAAGAGACCATACCATACCATACCATACCATACCATACCATACCACACCACACCACCCCACCTTTATTTATAGAGCACTTAAGACACCCATTGGACCAACGTGCTGTATGCATAATAAATCATTAATTTAATCATACAGTCAGTTAAAAATTAAGTTAACTATTTAAAAGTCAGCATTGCAAATGGTGTTCAAAAACCAGAGGGAAAGTATTGGTTTAAGAGAGAATTTAAAAACAGACAGGGACTCTGATGTCCAACAGAAGGTTATTCCATAATCTGAGGTGAATCAGGTGGTTGAGACCTCCTGAGTGGACTTCCTAGACAGATCCCAGAGCAGACGCAGAACTTTCTAGAGGAAGCATTCTTGGATTATTATTATTTTTTGTTCTTATAGTGCAAGATTTAAACGTCATCATTTTGCATTTCTAAAACCAATGGGTGTCATCTCACAAAAAGTCCTTCCACATGTCTGTGCCTTTGATGTGTCTTAGCCAACAAAGACCAAAACACACAGTTAGACTTCGGGAAGAATGTAGAATTTGAAAATGCTCTGTTTTCAACCCTAACTTTAACTCAAACCCCTTCGCTCATCACACCTAACCTTTCATCTAAATCAAACAATGGTGAATGAAAGAAAGGAGTGACTCACGGGAGACTGCAGCTGTGTGACCCAGGGCATTCAAGAAGGTGATGAAAAGACAATGCTCTGATAGTCAACTCAAACACAAGCCTTTCACACAGTGGTTACTTATCCCCATCTCTCCTCCAACTTCCTCACGCAGAATTGTTCCCTGATAAGACTTGTGGAAGATAAAGCAAGTGCTTGTGTTTGTTGCGTGACTATTTTCCGGGAAAAACATTATTATTTTATACATGTGGCAGAAAAAGTAGAGAGGTTTAATCTGTCACCAGAAAACTGTGTTGTATTTTTGCAAAAGACACAGAGAGCTTTTACGAGCTGTAGATCTGCTGTAATCATCTACCTAAAGAGGTTGTCAGTGCACACCATGAATCAGATACTTGAGGTCACAACAAGTTGACAAGTCATGCTAAAATCTGCACRGAGCAAAACACACAGCCTGCGAAGGCAACAAGTGATTGGTCTCTACTTGACTCTCGCGTATTTGCAGCTGAATAAAGTGAAACACCTGGATAGCATCTGCATGAAGTAGCAAAATAACACTGCAATAAAAGCTGGCTCATGTGTAAGTGTACAACTATGAAGAAAATTTGTTTTACGTTGTGTTGGTCACCTGTTTACTTCACTGAAGAAATATCTAGTTTTCAAGTCATAGATACACAAATGTTTGCAGTTAAGAGGTCTGAACAAACCTAAAATTGTTTAAAACCTCTACTGCTCCTCGTTGATGATGCCTTTCCACATGTGTATGCTGCCCACGCCGAAGGACTAACTCACCCCCATCACTGACGTTTGAACTGTGTGCTGATAACTGGCCGGATGGTCCTGCTTTTCTTCATTATGGAGGTGGTCACAGTTTCCAACAATAATTGAACATTTCTGAAGCTTCTGACCACAAAATGGTTTTCCACTTTGTCTCAGTCCAATTTAAATGAGCTTTGGCCCAAAGAAGGGAGCAGTGTTCCTGGATGGTGTTCACATATGGCTTTTTTTTGCACGATATAGCAGTTCCAGACACTGATTTGTGAAAGGGTTCCTGAGCCCTTGCAGTGATGTATATAACAGTCAAAACCTGTTTAAATTTACTGACCCCTGAGATTTCCCCAGAGTCTTGAAATCTTTTGATGATATGAACTGTRRATGAGACATTCAAAGTCTTCCAAATTTTCCATTGAAACACRTTTTTCTGAGATTGCTCCACTATTTTTAGATGCAGTTTATTGCAGCTTCTGCACAGCTTTACTTCAGATTCAGCTTCTCCAAAATGTGTTTTTATTTTATAATGAGCCCTTTTTGCTGATGTCAAATAACCTCTAGCTCTTTGTTATTCATACTGTTTACTTTAACAGCCTTTTGTTGCTCTTGTCCCAATGTTTTGAAGATGTTTTTCTACCATCAAATATAAAATGATGTTATTTTTATTTTATTTTTTGCAGAAATTTGGTTTGTTCTCACAAAAGATCTATTAATAAATAGACTATTAAAGCAATTTTACCATAATTTAAAATAAGAGACTTGTGAAAGCATCCTGGCATCAGAGTTTACAGCTGAACCACTTCTGAACTCCTCCATCTTTCTCCCGATTTTCGGGCAGTAAGAATCATACTCGGTCACCTCCCAATTTCCTCCMCTTGGCCAGCAGAGATGTCAACATGAAACCTTTCAAAACAACCCAAACAGCAGGCGATGTTGTTGTAATACAGAAACACAGATCAACTCCAATCTACCCTGTGATTTGTCAAAACTCGATAAAAGTGTCGAAAAGCACCTCAAAGCACAACACACATCACACACGTGCCCCGTGTGTGTAATTCTAACCTGCATCTTGTCTGATGGTCCTGTCACACACCACACCTTTTCTTGGATTTTTTTAAAGAAACACTTGAAATACAAAAAAAGTTTTCTTTGTAATAACATGTTATTGACTCCAGTAAAGCTTCTGAAAGTTGTGAAGATGAGACAGGAGCTGCATCTGTTGGCAGTTAACAGCCTGATAGATGAAGGAGCCGCTTAGCGGGACTAGTTCAAACTGATCAACACAAATCTGCTGTGCAATTTGTCAAAACTTGACAAAGCTGTCACAAACTACATTTAAGTAATTGCTGTGCTTGTTTGTATTTGGTGCCAGTAAATGCTAGAGTTCTATGTTCACATCTGTAAACCTCTGTCAGTCAGTTCTGATATGTCTTTATGTTTTGAGATGTCCCTWGTTTGTATTTATTTTGTAATGTT